TTTTTCTGATATTTGTTCTAAGCTTTACAAGTAAAATAGACCTTTATAACATAGTGTACCTTCATGATTAAATTTTGTTTTTGTTTTGTTTTGTTTTGTTTTTTTGAGACAGAGCCTCGCTCTGTCGCCCAGGCTGGAGTGCAGTGGCACAATCTCGGGTCACTGCAAGCTCCACCTCCCAGGTTCACGCCATTCTCCTGCCTCAGCCTCCTGAGTAGCTGGGACTACAGGCGCCCGCCACCATGCCCAGCTAAGTTTTTGTATTTTTAGTAGAGATGGGGTTTCACCATGTTAGTCAAGATGGTCTCACTCTCCTGACCTCATGATCCACCCGCCTCAGCCTCCCAAAGTGCTGGGATTACAGGCGTGAGCCACCGTGCCGGGCCCTGATTAAAGATCTTTGACATTTCTTTATAACTTAAGAAAAAAACATTTAAATTTCAGGACAATTATTGAATCTAAGAGCTAAGGACTAAACACTACATTGAAAGCTAGGTATGGCTGAGTGCAGTGGCTCACACCTGTAATCCCAGCCCTTTCAGAGGCTGAGGTGGGAGGATCACTTGAGGCCAGGAGTTGAGGACAAGCCTGGGCAACATAGGGAGACCTTGTCTCTACAAAATATTTTTTTAAAAATTAGCCTAAAAGTTCAAGGTTACAGTGAGCTATGATTGCACCACTGCATTCCAGCCTAGGTGACAGAGTGAGACCCTGTCTCTAAAAATAAAAATAAAAAAGAAAGCTCATTTTTAAATACTGTGAATGATTAGTTTGAAGTGGCATCCCCAGCTTCTTCATATGACCCAATTAATTTTTTAAATAATGGAAGAAGTTAGGTGAAATTTTTAAAAACAACTCTGTCATGGGGATGAATTTTACCAGGAGATAAAGCAGCTGAGTTCTATCTTGGCTCTGTCTGTAGTTTACCATGTAGCCTTGGGTAGGTCACTTACCTCTCTGCCTGTTTTCTTATCTACCAAATGAGGGTGTCACCCTCAATATACTGTGTTTTCTTCAAATTCTTACACTATGAGCAATGGTTCTGGACCTTTTCCCCAGGGAGACACATACATGTGGGGTCACGTTCAACTCTCAGAAGCTGAATTGTTTGTGTTGTTGTTGTTACTGCTGCTGCTTTAGTTTTAAGGCAGCAATATAGATAAAATAGGATATAGGTTATGCATAATTTCCAGTTTTAATCCCACTCCATTTTTCCCCAATTGTTGCGGGAAGTCAGGGACCCCAAACAGAGGGACCTGCTGAAGCCGTGACAGAAGAACATAAATTGTGGAGATTTCATGGACATTTATCACTTCCCCAATCGATACTCATATAATTTCCTATGCCTGTCTTTACTTTAATCTTTTAATCCCGTCATCTTTGTAAGCTGAGGATATATTTCACCTCTGGATGCTGTGATGATTGCGTTAACTGCACAAATTGTTCATAAAGCATGTGTGGTTGAACAATATGAAATCTGGGCACCTTAAGAACAGGATAGCAGTGATTTTCAGGGAACAAGGGAGATAACCTTAAAGTCTGGCTGCCTGGGAGCCAGGCGGAACAGAGCCATATTTCTCTTATTACTGAAAATGGGTAAGAGAAATATCGCTGAATTCTTTCACCAATAAGGAATATTAATAATTAACAGCCCTGGGAAAAGAATGCATTCTTGGGGAGGCCTCTAAAATGGCTGCTCTGGGGGTGTCTGCCTTATGCAGTTGCAGATCAGGGATGAAACACGCCCTGGCCTCCTGCAGCGCCCCCAGACTTGCTAGGATTAGGAAATTCCAGCCTGGCAAATTCTGTCAGACCAGTTCAAGGCTCTTGAATCCTGTTAAGATGTTTATCAATGACAATGCATGCACAGCGGGACATGGAAGTTCATTAGTGATTCTAGTTTCGCCCTGACCTTCTGCCTTGTGATCTTTTGTTGCCCTTGAAGCATGTGATCTCTGTGACCCACACCCTATGCGTACACTCCCTCCCCTTTGAAAATTGCTAATAAAAACTTGCTGGTTTTGTGGCTCAGGGGGCATCACAAAACCTGCTGACATATGTCTCTCCCGGACACCCAGCTTTAAAATTCCTCTCTTTTGTACTCTTTCCCTTTATTTCTCAGACCAGCTGACACTTAGGGAAAATAGAAAGGAACCTACATTGAATTATCGGGGGTGGGTTCCCCCAATATCCAGTGATCACTGCTATTACATCAAGAACCACTGCTCTGAAGAACTTCACAATTGTGGGCCATGTGCCACCTGGAAGATTTTTTTAATGTAAAATGCATCAATTAAAAAAATTAATTATATTTATAAGACCAGGGGCTAATTATTCATTCAGATGACTGCATTCTGTCTCCTAATTCTGCTTACTTAGTTCTACCAAAATGAAAAATCACTCCCCTGTATCTCCCCTCCAAAGCAATCTCCAGAAGTCAAAGCCCTCTTGCTTTCTGGATGTCCTGACTTTAAAATGCTGGATCCCCTGTTCCTCATGTGACTGCCTTTGTTTAAAGGCCCAGAAAGGTCTGCAGTGATAAGGTTTGCCCCGGGACTGGCTACAGAGAGGCTTCTTGGAATTGAATAAGGAGCTGTTTGGTTTCCTAAAAAGAAAGAGGAGACTGCTCAAATAACAAAGTCTAATTTGTCACCTCAGAGTCCCCCTTAATGGCAGTGAGATCCATATAGGTGCCAACCCAGACAGACACCCACATGTGTCTGTCTAATGAGCCAATATCATTCCCTTAAAACAGCCCTGCTCATCGGTGCTGAAAAAAACACAGCCCTTCCTCTGCCTTCCTGGAGCAAGGCTATTAAATCTATTAGCAGCACTTCAGCCACCCAGATGCTTCCACCTTCTTCTGAAAAGCAGCCTTGTCCCAGACAGATCACACTGAAATGGCGCCTACTCGCATCTGTATGAATCTCAAGTTCTGAGATGACAGGCTGTCCAGCTGGCCTGTAGACCGCAGTCATTAGCAGGTGGCAAAGATGTCACAAAACCAGAGTCGAATAAAAACACCAGAGCTGTACAGGAGTTAGCACAACCCATCTGGCCATGTTCTTGGTAATGGGACTCAGTAGAAAACTGTTAGATAAGCAAGCTTGGACCCCACATCAGGGGCTACTCCATACAGGAGGAAAGAGCTTCAGAAGGAGAATTTAACAAGTTGACAAGGTTTTAAATCAAAGTGTAACCCAGGTATCTGTCAGCTGGGACTTTCCTGTCCCTTGAGATCTAAATAAGCTTTGCTTCAAATGCCGTAGTCCGTGGCAGTCTGGATTCTATGACTGCTTGTCAGCTTAGGGTCTCCACCTTGTCTCATGCTTCTGTGTCTGATCCTTAGCCCTGCACCTTGTCAGGTTGCCTATCAAGATGGCATGCTCATGTGTGAACAAGGTGGACTTTACAAAAAGTTGGTGTCAATGTGGAGAATCACATTTCATATTGTATGTTTCATTCCACCTAGTGGTATAGTGAGCAGTCCATGTTAGACTTTCCTTTGCTCTTAAGCCTGGCTACTCAAGGTGTGGCCAGAGGGCCAGCAACACCTGGATCACCTGGGCGCTTGTTAGAAATGCAGAATCTTGAGTTCTCCCCAGCCTTTCTAAGTCAGAATCCATAATTACCAAGATACCAGGTGATTCAGCCCAATAAAGTGTGAGGAGCACACAACTAAAGTCCTTTTCAGCTGGGCGTGGTGGTGCACGCCTATAATCCCAACCCTTTGGGAGGCCAAAGCTGGGGGATGGCTTGAGCCCAGGAGTTCAAAACCAGCCTGGACAACAAAGTGAGACCACCGCCCCCCCCGCAACCCTGCCCACCGATCTCTACAAAAAATTTAAAAATTATCCAGGTGTGGTGGCGCATGCTACTCAGGAGGCTGAGGTGGGAGGATCGCTTAAGCCTGGGAGTTCAAGGCTGCGGGGAGCTAAGAAGGCACCACTGCACACTGCACTCTAGCCTAGGTAAAAGACCCTGTCTTTAAAAAGATAAATAGATACAAAATATAACATTTCTTCCATCATAAATTAGGTCTTTGTTTTCCTGGCTGTCCCCTTCTGGGTAGAAGATTCCTTAAGGGAAGGACCTGAAATCTGTGGTCATCATTTCTGTATCTTCAGTGCCCAGCAGAGAGAGAGACTCAGAAATTGTGTTTTTCCTCCTGTCTTTGCCTTGGGAATCCCTACAAATTAACAGCAGTGGTCAAATGAATCCTGCCCCTAACTCAGCCCCTTCCTTTGTCCTTAGTTAGGGGCCTGGGCTACCTTTCTGAGCCACGTCAGACCCACCTGCGTCACCCTGCTACTCATCTTTAGATGGGTCCCTCCTCCCCAGCCCTTGTCTGTTCTCTTGCTACCCAAGGGTTCCAGCTTTGCCACCAGCTACTCATGTGTGACTTTTTGAAAATCACCCTACCTTCTGGGTCTCATCTGTAAAATGAGTGGATTTGACTCATTAGCTAGAGCTCTTAACGGCAGCATTTGCAACTCACAGGTGTGTTTTAATCACTGGCAAGGTACTTTGCAAGTGACTTTTTATATGATCATTAAGGTTTGCCAATGGGCTTTTTTAAATGAATAGAGCAGATTCAAGGTTATCCCTTTGACTGTCATTCTCAGTTGCATTCTGGTGTGCCTTCTGAAACAGGAGAAAAACGGGTGGTGGTACAGGTAGCTCCAGGGATCACACACAAGCTTGGGGCATACACACCGTTGGGAATGTGTTATGTTTCACATTCAGAAAAGTTGCCTGGTTATCTCTCATGTGTCTCAACAGCACAAAGACTGATCTATAAACTTTTCAGCTCCATCATCTTTTGGGCTATAAGGCCTGGTGTAAAAGAGGTGGTTTTTATTTTATCTGGAGAAAAGACTGCTCTTGGAAAATGCAAATTTCCAAATATCTCCTCTTAAAATTTAAATCTCACACAGAGACACTTGAGCAGGTGATACTCTTTACATTTTTTTCCTTTTCCTCTTTGACTTTGCTTCCAGAAAGCGAGAGGAAGAAAACAAACGAAAAGAGGCAGAACAGCAAAAAGGAAGGCAAAGCCCAGATTCCTGCAGACCCCAGGCCCTTCCCTGTCTGCCCAGCACCCAGGATGCACCCAGCAGGCAGAGCCGGGCCCCCAGCAAGCAGCCTCCTGCTGGCAACGTGGCCCAAGGCCCTGAGCCAAGAGACAGCAGAGGATCTCCAGGAGGGTCTCTAGGCAGAGCCCTCCAGAAGGAGCAGTATACTTCCTTGGATTTGCAGGGAACAAACTCCAGAAGGCCAAATGGTAGGTGTATTGCCTTTGTCATCTCCTGCTGGCCCACAGACTGTGGGCTTTTTTCTTTGGTGTATTTAGACCAATTACACTTAAGATAATTGTTGTATTAGCACTTAGGTCCACCACTTTATGATTTGTGTTCTGCTTGTTTCCTCTGGTTCTCATTTCTCTTTTTTTCCCTTCCTGTAGGTTACTTCAGCATTTTTAAGCATTCCATCTTGATTGATTTATGGTTTTTTGTTTTCTTTTCTTTTTTAGAGTGAAGCGTGAAAACCTTACTTCCATTTATCTTGTGCACTTTTAAGTATTATTGCTTAGGTATCAGATGGTGTCATAAATTTTGTTTCAGTCATGAGATACAATTTATAAAACTCACAAAGGAAATAACATTTTATGCACCCGTATTTCTGCTCTTCTGTTGTTTCTTCTTCCTTCCTGATGCTCTAAGATTCTTGTAGCCTTTCCTTTCTGTATGAAGAGCTTTCTTTGGCCAATCTTTAAGGGTATGTCTGCTAGCAACAAATTCTTTCAGTTTTCCTTTGTCTGAGAATGTTTTTATTTGATTCCTGAAGAATCATTAAGACAGATGTAGAATTCGTGGTTGGCAGTTCTTTTCTTTTAGCACTTGAAAAATATTGTGCCATTTCCTTTTGACTTCCATGGTTTCAGATGAGAAATCCACTGTCCTTCAAATTGGTGTTTCTCAGTAACAGTCCTAGGTAATATGTCATTTCTCTCTGGCTGCTTTCAAGATTTTAAAATTTATCATTAGCTTTCAGGAGTTTAATATGATGTGTCTTGGCATGGGTTTTTGCAGTTTATCCTATTTAGAGTTTACCTGTATGTCAGGGGTCCCCATGATCCCCATCCCCAAGACTACCACCAGGTTTGGTGATGTTGGAGGATTTACTAGGGAGACTCAGCATATAGTTGTACTCCCAGTTAGGATTTATTATATCAAAGGGACACAAAGCAAAATGAGCAAAGAGAAAAGGTGTATGGAGCAATGTCCAGAGGAAATTAGGCACGAGCTTCCAGTGGCTCTCCCCCAGTGGAGTCACACACAACACGTTTAATTCCTTCTGCAATAAATTTAACAACCAGTCAGACAAACTTTTGTTGACAAAGAAAGCTCACATGAACCTAGGACTCCAGGATTTTTATCTGGAGTCAGTCACATAGATACTCTCTGCCTAGCATATGCCAAAATTCCAGACTCCCAGAAGGAACAGTGTGCAGCACGAACCCTATTGTTTGCATGAAGCAATTTAAACACATTGAGCTACTCTTAGAAGTTAGAAAATGGTAGGAGCTTTCTCAAAATCTAAGTGCAAATGCCAACACAGTGAAAAGGGCAAATTATGTCTTCGTATTATTATGAAAATAGCCCTGACCTTATGGACTTTCTCAGAAGGTGGCTCTGGAACTTCATGATTACTGAATTCAGGGCTTGGACAGTTCAACCTGTTTCTTTGAACCTTAACTTCCTTAGCTATGAAGTGAGGGTATACTTTCTACACCACGAGGTAGCTATGGATAGAAATAATTCATGTAGAGTACTTGTTACAGCCCATAACTCATCGTAGGTTTTCAGTAACTATTATTATTGAGCCACACATTAATCCAGCCAAGAACAACTACAGAAAAGTATACATAAAATGATTACAGGCTGGGTGCAGTGACTCACACCTGTAATCCCAACACTTTGGGAGGCCGGGGCAGGCAGATTACTCGAGGCCAGAAGTTCAAGACCAGCCTGGCCAACTTGGCAAAACTCCATCTCTACTAAAAATATAAAAATTAGCCAGGCATGGTGGTACATGCAACTCAGGAGGCTGAAGCACAAGAGCTGCTTGAACCTGAGAGGCGTTAGTTGCATTGGGCTGAGATTGTGTCTTTGCACTCCAGCCTGGGCAACAGTGAGACTCTGTCTCCAAATATATATATATATGTAAAATGACTATAAACATTTTTGGAATATAATTCCATAATCAACTTTACAGTGTAATCCTTAAGGATTATATACTCATGATGCTTTGCTACATATTCATTCATTTATTCATCCAACCAGCTTTAATTAAGCTCCCATAATGTGACAGTCATGTTGAACTTCCTTGAGTTTTTTCTTAGCTTGGGGCCTTTGCAGATGCCACTCCCTTTACCTTATTTTTGAGATATCAGGGATAATGTTGCTTCTTCTGTTCAACCCTTATCTCCCCACTAAAGGAGGCTATAGTTTCCTGCTATATGCTCCCATACTTCTCCTATACTTCCCTCTTATAAAGATCATCACTTTTTACTGTTATTACTGGTTTACTTGTCATTTTTTCCACTAAACTGCAAGATCTGTGAGAGCAGGGTTGCTTCCATTGTCTACTGCTGTAAACAAACCACACAAAGACGAAGTGACTTTGAACAATAACGATTTAATTATTATGATTCTATTTGGGTTGGAAAGTTTCTTTACAGGCTTCATCTGGTCTCACTCATGTGTCTACATTCAGGTGGAGAGTCAGTGGAATTCCATGTCTAAGATATACTGACTTGAATGTCTAGCAATTGATGCAAGCTATCAGATGGGATTCTTTGACTCTGTTTTATATGGTTTTCATCCTCCAGTAGACTAGACTGGCTTCCTTACATCATGGTCTCAGGACAGCATTCTCAGAAAGCAAAGATAAGGCCGGGCGCGGTGGCTCACGCCTGTAATCCCAGCACTTTGGGAGGCCGAGGCGGGCGGATCACAAGGTCAGGAGATCGAGACCACGGTGAAACCCTGTCTCTACTAAAAATACAAAAAATTAGCCGGGCGCAGTAGTGGGCGCCTGTAGTCCCAGCTACTCGGGAGGCTGAGGCAGGAGAATGGCGTGAACCCGGGAGGCGAAGCTTGCAGTGAGCCGAGGTCGCGCCACAGCACTCCAGCCTGGGGGACACAGCGAGACTCCGTCTCCAAAAAAAAAAAAAAAAAAAAAAAAAAGAAAGCAAAGATAAAAGCCACAAGACCTCTTGAGAAATAGACTCTAGAATTTGCACACATTGTATTGATCAAAGCAAGTTACAAGACCATCCAAGACCAAATGATGTGGAGAAATAGATTCCACCTTTGTGCATACGAAGATGGGAGGAATTTTTGGCTATTAAACAACCTGTCATAGTTCCTATTTGGTCACAGATTATTCACATTCCTCCCACATGCAAGATATTCTTACCCCTTGATATGGATTGGCTCTGTGTCCCCATCCAAATCTCATTGCAATTCCCAATGTTCGGGGAGGGACTTGGTGGGAGGTGATTGGATCATGGGGGCAGATTTCTCCCATGCTGTTCTCATGATAGTGAGTTCTCACAAGATCTGATGGTTTAAATGTGTGTGGCACTTACCCCCTCGCTCACGCTCTCTCCTGCTACCATGTGAAGAAGGTGCTTGCTTCCCCTTTGCCTTCCACCATGATTGTAGGTTTCCTGAGGCCTGCCAGTCATGCTTCCTGTTAAGCCTGTGGAACTGTGAGTCGATTAAACCTCTTTTCTTTATAAATTACCCAGTCTCAGGTAGTTCTTTATAGCAGTGTAGGAATAGACTGATACATCCCTATCTCAGTACCCCAAAATCTCAACCTGATTATCTCATCACACTTGAAGTCTAGGATTTTAAGACATGAATCAGATGTGGTTCAGGTTCACCAGCTGGGACTCTTTCTGATTCAGAGATCAATCAGCCAAAAAGATACATTATCAACACCACTCCCCCACACCCAACAAACAGTGGTGAGATAGGAACAGAATAACCACAGTAGACAAAAGGGGGTAGAATAGGAGGCGCATAGCAGCCATTAGTCCATAGCAATTCTGAAAGCCAGCTGGTCACATTTTACCAGGGCCCCTACTCTGAGGTAAAATTCCTTGATTAGGGTCTCATTTTACTCCTGGTGCCTTCCTATTCCATTGTTCTCCATGGCTCTTGGCTCTGCTACCTGAATTCTTGACTCTGCTCTCTGAGAAGTCCTTCCTTTTCCAAAGAAATGCCCGTTTGCAGCTGAGTAGCTTTCTCAGCCTAGCTCCTGACTATAGGATACTGGGGCCCCAGAGGCTTCTTTTTGATTTGAACTATGTCACCAGTTCAAGCTTGTGGTACTCTCAATAATACAATTATCTAAAAAGCTGCATGGGCTTCCTGTGAATCTGATTGGATTCATTTCATATTTCAAAAGCCACATCCATAATTTTTCAAACAAGCTTTTCTCTCATTTGAGTGGCTCAGATTTCTGTGGGAAAATGCCCTTGAGATTCTTAGAAATTCTTTTGTCGAGCTGAGAAGGCCTATTATATACCACCTTAAATATTTTTTAATCTTAATAAAGGGTGTACAGCCATACTTTGTTTTGTTTTTTGAGACAGGGTCTCACCCTGTCACCCAGGCTGGAGTGCAGTGGTGCAATCACAGCTCACTGCAACTTCTGCCTCCCAGGCTCAAGTGATCCCCCCACCTCAGCCTCCCGGGTAGCTGGGACCATAGGTGTGTGCTACCATGCCTGGCTAATTTTTTGCATTTCTTTTTCGTAGAGACGAGATTTCATCATATTGCCGAGGCTGGTCTCAAACTCCTGGGCTCAAGCAATCTACCTGCCTTGGCCTCCCAAAGTGCTGGGATTTTATAAGTGTTAGTCACTGTGTCCGGCCTGATTTGATCTTTATGCTGAGGCCTATGAGATTTTTGCTGGCTGGAAAGAATAAAAATGTTAAAATAGTTTTATTTTCTAACCCAGCACATCCTGGGATCTTTACATTATCTCTAAATTTTGCTTGCAAATGGAACAGTTTTTTCTTCATTTTATTTGCTTTCTCCCCATATCTTGTCATATGTAGGTTAAAAAGCAGTTGACATTTTGTTCTACATTCCATCTGGAAACCTCCTGAACTGTATCTACAGCTTCATTAGGTATATTTTCTATCTTCTACGTTACTGCAGGTGACAATTTTGCCAGTTAATTCTGCCACTGAATAACAAGGTTCACTTCTCTCTAGATTCCCACAGCAATTTCTTCTCTGCTCTTCCAGACTTCACCAGTACTCTCTTCATTGCCTTCCCAGCTTCTGCTCACCAACCAGTCCAAAGTCAATACCATGGATTTTATATTTTAAGACAGCACCTCTCTTTTATAGATATAAATATCTGTGTTGGTTATCTCCTGTAGCATAATAAACCACTCCCAAAACTAAGTGGCTTAAAACAACAGAAGTTTATTATTTCTCACAGTCCTGTCAGCTACCTGGGCAGTTCCTCTTCTCGATCACCTGGGCTCACTCATGAGGTATATCTTCTTATATCCCTTTCTTTGTTTTTTCTTTTTTGAGACAGAGTTTTGCTCTTGTTGCCCAGGCTGGAGTGCAGTGGCGTGAGCTTGGCTCACCGCCACCTCCGCCTCCTGGGTTCAAGCGATTCTCCTGCCTCAGCCTCCTGAGTCACTGGGATGAAGGCATGCACCACCACACCCAACTAGTTTTTTTGTATTTTTAGTAGACACGGGGTTTCTCCATGTTGGTCAGGCTGGTCTTGAACTCCTGACGTCAGGGGATCTGCCCGCCACGACCTCCCAAAATGCTGGGATTACAGGCGTGAGCCACCGTGCCCGGCCCATTCCTTTCTTTCTTACATGAAGAGTAGCATAGTTTAGATAGCTCTTTGGCACTTAAGAATATTTTATTTTACATTATTGAGACATAGTCTCACTTTGTTGCTCAGGCTGGAGTGCAGTGGCACAAACAGCTCACTGCACCCTCAACCTCCCAGGCTCAAGCGACCTTTCACCTCAGCCTTCTGAGTAGCTGGGACTACAGGCATGCACTACAATGTCTGGATAATTGTTTTTTTTTATTTTTAGAAGTGGGGTCTCACTGTGTTACCAGGCTTGTCTCAGACTTGGCTCAAGCAATCCTCTTGCCTCAGCCTCCCAAGGTGCTGGGCCACTGCACCCAGCCAGAACAGTTATTTTAAAGTCTGTTTCTGAAAACACATTATCTGGATAATCTATGTGCCTGTTTTGGTAAGATTTTTTTTCTTTTTCTTTGAGACAGAGTCTCGCTGTCACCCAGGCTGGAGTGCAGTGGCGCGATCTCAGCTCACTGCAACCTGTGCCTCCTGGGTTCAAGCGATTCTCCTGCCTCAGCCTCCCAAGTAGCTGGGACTACAGGCACACACCACCATGCCCAGCTAATTTTTGTATTTTTAGTAGAGACAAGGTTTCACCATGTTGGCCAGGCTGGTCTCAAACTCCTGACCTCATGATTCCCATCTCGGCCTCCCAAAGTGCTAGGATTACAGGCGTGAGCCACTGTGCCTGGCATATTTTTCATTTTAGATGTTAGTCATTTTCAGAGGACCCCTTTGTGCAGCCTGAGTTGAGAGCATGTCACACTAAAGCAATATTGTGTTTGCTTCTGTGAGGCATCGTGGGATATCTCCATCCTGAGAACGGTTTTTATGTTACTGTCTCCTATGGATTGAGAATAAATGAATACCAAGCCCATGTGAGGAAGAAGACTTTGGTTTTAAATTCTTATAGGAGACTCCTTACCCTATCCAGAACCTGAGCTGAAACAAACTTCCTTGTCATCTCCAAGTGCTGGAGAGCAGATTTTAAAATCTGGATTATTTCCAAAAGGTATATCCCTTCAAGAGTGCTGGCTTCAGGTAGAGTCTTGTTCCAGTTAACTTTCTTCCTGCAAGGCCTCATTTTCTGTTCTTATGTAGATGTTAAAAAACAGCCAGATATTTAATAAGACCATCTGTTGCCCACTCCACCACCATTACCTGCCTAAACAGTCACTGGATCAGCTCACACACTTAATTGCTTTGATTTTCAATTTTCTCTTTGTTTTTGGCCTCCAGAGTTCCTTTATTTTCTTAAAGGCATGACAGTGCTTTCCAAAGGATATCCATTATTTTTGTTAAGGTGAGAAGGGCTTCAGGTTATCTAACCTACCATATTGCTGGAAATAGAAGTTAAAGTTTTTTCCTAGTCGTATTTGCCACTATTATGGTAATGATATAGTCTAAGTCTGAATATCTTATGTGAACATATTAGCAAAATTATCCTACTATGCAAGTTTTGGACATATTTTTTCTTTGTTTCCCCAAGAAACAGCCAGAGAACATTCTAAAGGCCAATCTGCCTGTGTCCACTTCAGACCCAATGAAGGCAGTGATGGAAACAGGCATCCAGGAGTTCCCTCTGTTGAGAAGTCCAGAGGTGAGACAGCTGGTGATCAGCGGTGTGCAAAGGGGAAAGGCTTTGTGAAGCAGCCCTCCTGTATCAGGGTGGCTGGGCCTGATGAGAAAGGAGAGGACTCCAGGCGGGCAGCTGCAAGCCTTCCACCACACGATAGCCACTGGAAGCCCAGCAGGCGGCATGACACAGAACCCAAGGCCAAATGTGCCCCCCAGAAAAGGCGCACTCAAGAGCTCAAAGGAGGAAGGTGCTCCCCGGCTGGTTCTAGCCGGCCTGGCAGTGCCCGGGGGGAGGCAGTCCATGCTGGGCAGAATCCTCCTCACCATCGTACACCAAGAAACAAAGTGACACAAACCAAGCTCGCAGGAGGGCTCTATTCAGATTTGCCACAGAGCACAGAGGAGTTGAGGTCAGGAGCCAGGAGGCTGGGGACATCCACCCTGTCCGAGGACTTTCAGGTATCTAAGGAGACTGATCCAGTACCTGGTCTCTCTGGGCAGAGTGTGAATATTGACCTTCTCCCTGTAGAGCTCCGACTGCAGATAATTCAGAGAGAACGAAGGAGGAAAGAGCTGTTTCGCAAAAAGAACAAGGCAGCGGCAGTCATCCAGCGTGCCTGGCGAAGGTAGGAAAATGGGGTGCTGCCACATCTGTGGTTCTTTGGTTGTTACTGGTATTCTCAACATGACATCTGTGCTCTTTGATGTTTTCCCAATGAGTTCCATTTGGTGGCATGATAAGGCCAATTTTATGGAGCCTACCCATGAAATTCACACAAGATCCTAGTAATTTACATTGTGTAAACCATTTGGAAGATGTTTTTGCCTAGAAAGATGGGAAAGTGCTCCCAGCACAGCATGGGGTAAAGGAAAAAGTCCTGGGTTTGTAACCATGAAATGTCAGATTCAGGTAAGCTCAAACAGGTTATGTGACTTTGGGCAAATCTCGTGGCCCCCCGACCCTCTGCTTCTTCATCTGTAAAACAGGATTTAATAATTGTTGCACATGTCCTATTAATACGACAGGTTACTGGAATGAGATAATGCACACTTCATTAATTCTAAATTACCACACATAGGAGATACTTTTATTCTTATGTCTTTACTACCCAGAAACTAGTCATACTCAAAAAACCTAAACCAGGGTCTGGATATAACAGATTGAGTGACTAAACCGTATTATGTAAACCTCTCTGAGCATCTACCAAGCTCAGAATACGTAGTAGGCACTGGGAGTGGGGGGTGAAGGCTGTCCTAAAAGCCTGAAACAGTGTCCCAATATACTAGAGACAAATGCTGCTGGGGGGTGATTATGGGAGGACTTGAGCGGTCTTCTTGCTACAAATGTTCACGTCTCATAATCTCTTTCATCCTGAAAGCCTCACTAGAGCCTAAATCTAAATTAGGCCTTACAGTGATGAGTGTCCAGAGAGGAGCTGGACCCATCACCAATAGGTGGGAGCTGGCCAGGCACAGTGGCTTAGACCTGTAACTCCAGCACTTTGGGAGGCTGAGGTGGGAGGATCACTTCAACCCAGGGTTATGAGACGAGATCACCCCGGGAAACATGGCCAAACCCCGTCTCAACAAAAAAATACAAAAATTACCCAGGCATGGTGGCATACGCCTGTAGTCCTAGCTAGTTGTGAGGCTGAGGCAGGAGGATCGCTTGACCCCAGGAGGTCAAGGCCAGTGAGCCATCACCATGCCACAGAACTCCAGCCTGGGCGACAGAGTGAGACCCTGTCTCAAGAAAAGAGATAGGTGGAAGTTATTTTGCCTCCGTCACTGGAGAGAGAGGAAGATGGATGGGGAGACAAGGCAAGGAAATAATGCGGGCACAGGTGTGCCAGATATCAAGGTTCCTGTCAGGAGAAAATGGAAGACGTTCTCTCCTTAACATTGGCAGGGAGAAAACAAGATGGATTCCCGGGAGGTCCAGGGAGAGGCTTCCGTTGGCATCATACCAGAGACTGCCTAACCCAGAGCCAGGTGATCTGGTTTGTGCTTGCACAGGCTTTGCAATGTGTTCTCCCTCATGTCTGTTTCAGCTCTTGGCCATTAACAAAGTCCTCCCATGCCTGACCCCATGTGATCTCCCAACCACACCAGGAAGCCACCACGACAGGGAGCAGTATCCCCATTTTTCAGACGAGAGGCAAAATTGACTTGTCCTTTTTGTCCAGATCCAGCACTTGAACCTCTGGCTAACTCGAATCCAAGGGCCTTCCCCTTACATTAGTGAAGTTAGTTTTTGCTGTGGTCAAGCTAATGGAGGTGGAGATGGGCCCCATGCACTTTGCCTGAAAACAGGATGGAGAAGACTGCCTGGTTGGTGTCATACACATCAGGGTAACCAGGAGAAGGGTGGTATTACTATTACCAATTGTTAACATACTAGTAGTTTTTATCGGACACTTGTGCCAGACACTGTTCAAACTAGTTTTACCTGGATTAATTCATGTAATCATCACCAATAACCCTGCAAGGTAGATATTGTTCTTATCCCCGTTCCACAGATGAGGAAACTGAAGCACAGAGAGGTTCATCAACTCACCAACATTACAGAGCAAGTGCCAGGGCTGGCTTTGAGCCAAGACAGTCAGCCTCTAAAGCCACAGGTGGAAATGGCCATTGCACCCCCTCGTTGGGGCAGTTATGCTGGTACATGCACTGGCTACCATCCAGATGAACTTTTTAAGTATTTTGGTTGAAATCTAGGATCTAAACAAGCTAGCAAGGTTACCACGCCAGACCTCACAGCTGCTCCCTACCTGAAATGTCTCCTTCTTCGACTGTCTGTTTGACTCCTTTGAAGAGTCAGAAGCTGACAGGTCCTGTCAGGAAGTGACCAGAGTAGCAAATGAGCCTTCAGTCATTCCCCCAAGAACAGTGGGCTTATGGTCTAACATGCCCACCTGGGTAGACAACTACACAGGCTCCCTCTGGATGTGCCATTGCGCAATTCTGATGCCCAAAGGACTTCTGGGATTGTTGCACATTGCAGAAAGCCAAGTCTGGTGACAGTAAAAACACTTTTATTAGTTCTATTATAACTACTTTTTCTATTGTAAATACAAGAGCCCGAAGTGCTGTCCTGAAAATGTGTCTGATAGCAAACCTAAGCAGTGAGGGCTGGGGCAGGGGTCAGGGCTGGACACGTAAGTGCTCAGTGCAGGCTGTGGTTAGAGGGGACAGGTGCAGGATAGAGAAAAGGAGCTGGAAAACAGGCAGGGAAGGAGGGGGCAAAATGAACCTTGGGTCCTGAGAAAATGAAACTTGATCTTAAAATTGTCAGTTTAATAACCAAGTAAGGTGACATTTTAAAGAACTGAAACAGGATCCTAGACAAGCTGAACAGGAAAGGTGCTGCTGGGCCCACTGAGGGCTGACACCATTAACAGCTTCAGCCACTACCCAGGCTTCCCCACAAGTTCTGTGCCCACAGGAGCAGAAGGTATAGAAGACAGCATTTCAAATAGGAGAAACTGAATTATAGAGTGGTAGTGCCATACTTTTGTCTAGACTTGGCTTTTTGGAAATGTGGTAGGTATTCTAGTAGAGGGATGCCATGGTGTTACTCTCCAGGAAAGAAGGAAGAGTCATGTAGGCTGACTGAAATCAGCCTTTGGGGAAGGAGGGAGGGGCTAAACCACGCACTGCAAGGAGCTTTTAGCAGACTTAGGAAAAAGATTACTTCCCATTTGGTGCAGCCCAAATGGAATCACTGTAAAATCAGACATGAAGCCTGTTGCTCTCTGCAGCTACCTATAGGCTCACTGGGAATAAAGACAGATACAGATAATAAACATTGCTGCAGCTTTCCTTTGGAGGCCTCAAAGTAGTTGTGCTCAGTAAGTTTGGGAGTGCATGTAGGATAGAAAGCATCAAATAAACCCTAGATGTCAATACAGCCATCATCCCCCATCCCTCACCCACTCCAAACCCACCTCCAACACTTACCTTAGTAAAATGCAGCTCATACCTTTACCACTCTAAAGCCCCCTTTCCTCACCAAATACACAGTGCTTCCAACACATTGTGTTACTGACTTTCTGGCACAAATGCCCGTATCTCTGCTGATGCCAGTTCTGCTGCATAGAATGCCCTTCTCTGTCTGGTAAGCTCCTATTCATCTTTTAAAATCCAGCACAAACATTAGCCTTGTGAAACCTTACCAATCCATCAGTCAGTCCTGCATCTGTTTGCACAACCAGCTCCTTGCTCTTGCATGGTACTCTCATGCCACACGTCCCTCTTTACACAGCAGCCTGTCCCACTAGTCTGTGAGCTCCTTGAAGGCAAGGAATCATGATTGAATCCTAGTTCAGGAGGTGTTTGATGATGGAAAAAGAATTCCACATTCAACATGCTGCCGCCGAAATTAGGAATGGGAGCTTGAATGAACCTACCAGGAATTCAGCAAATACTACTACTATAGTTTCTAGGAATCTTAAGGAAATTTAGTTTTCTCAGTACTGTGATCTTAAAGCCTCTCTTCTCCTCTGACCCCACCAGTTACCAGCTCAGGAAGCACCTGTCCCACCTTCGACATACGAAGCAGCTTGGAGCTGGAGATGTGGACAGATGGAGGCAAAAGTGTACAGCATTACTCCTCCAGATTTGGAGGAAGGAACTAGAACTAAAACTCCCCCAAACTACTGCAGTAAGCAAGACCCCCAAGAATCCATCCAAGGGCACCTCAGGCACAAAGTCCACTAAGCACTCAGTGCTTAAGCAAATCTATGGTAACTGTCCTTCTGCCTACTTTGTAGTTCACAAGTACCCCCAGAGTGCCACATCAGAATCTGAAATGGGATTTAATTACATTGGGTAAACTTCCATTCAGATAAATTAGGTTGGTGCAAAATTAACTGTATAATTCAAAATGGTCAAAACTGCAATTAATTTTGCACCAACCTAGTATTTTTCAAGCACCAAGAGAACAGCACCATTTCGTGCCTGCCTTCCAGTGATGCTGGGTCAGAATTGTTTGGTTTCATGAGGTGTTCTAGCATCTCAGCCCAGAGCACCCTCAAGCTTTACTGTTTAAACCTCTCCAGACCCCTGCTTGAGTCTCCCCCTTGCATTACCCATTTGGAGCATTCAAGACTTAGCTAGACCCTGACTTTTCCTATGCTAAGATGTTATAGGGTTGCCCACTATGAGAATGCTCAACACCCATGCACTACAGTAAATATTTGTTCAGCAGATTAACTTCTACAAATCGAAACATTTTCAGCTCTGCAAAGAGCCCATCCAAGTAGACCCAGTGGAGTTCAAGAAGCCTTGCTGGCTCAAGAGAAAAAAAGATAGCCGGGCGCGGTGGCTCACGCCTGTAATCCCAGCACTTTGGGAGGCGGAGGCGGGCGGATCACGAGGTCAGGAGATCAAGACCACGGTGAAACCCCGTCTCTACTAAAAATACAAAAAAATTAGCCGGGCACGGTGGCGGGCGCCTGTAGTCCCAGCTACTCAGGAGGCTGAGGCAGGAGAATTGCGTGAACCCGGGAGGCGGAGCTTGCAGTGAGCCGAGATCGTGCCAACTGCACTCCAGCCTGGGCAGCAGAGAGAGACTCTGTCTCAAAAAAGAAAAAAAAAAAAGAGAGAGAGAAAAAAAGATAAGCAAGGGCACCTTTAGAAAGATCTCCTACAGCATAAACTTTAACATTCTTTTAGCAAAATCTCAGAACTTTGCCCTGGGCCTACATGGTTCCACACCATACCTAACTTATCTTGACACACGCCTGCAAGCTCAAGCCTTTACCACAATAAGGAATTCAGAAGTTGGTCAGGCCAAAGCTATCCCTGGCCAAAGAAAAGTAACAGTTATTGGTTCATTTCAGGTTGTTCTCAAGAAGGGAAAATACATCATCCTACAAGATCTGTAAAAGCCTCTTCCGTGCTGCGTCTCAACTCAGGTAAGGCAGTCACTGCAAAGCAGACGGTGGGGGAGAACATGGGGAAGCGTTTTCCTTCATTTCATCCCCAAAGACAGAAGACATTAGAACAGAGATGGCCAGGGTTTTCCAATGGTCATTTGATTTCATGGGATTATTACTGTAGCCAACATCTGTCTCCCTAAGAGGCAAATTATTTTCACAACTAAAAGCTATTATTAACATTAACTCCAATAGAAACAATAAATGGGAGCTATTATTGATCACTTTTATACAGTTTTTCACATAAAGGAGAAAATAAATGAAAATACTGTCATTTTTCAAAGGAATACCTTGGGAATCCTTTATAATCCTTATGATCCCCCGTTTCCTTCTCCAAGATGGGAAGAACACCATGAAGAGGACACTGAGAGCATGTACAGCCCAGGCTCAGCTGTGCGTGATTTCCCTCATACTAGAGAAGCTCAGGGAACTTTCTTTTCAGCCGCAAGACAAGAGTTTTACTTAGTGCCCCCTCTTTCATGCCAGCATTAAATATGGGTGATAAGTTCATTGCTGTCAGCAGCTAATGCCAGGTCCAGTGTTTCTCATAGGTGGCTATGGCAACACGCTCCCCGCTGCCTCCCCGATCCACACAGTCATCCTGGAGGAACAGAGTGCAGCTGGGAAGGTGAACAATGACTGTCAGCATGAACTTTAACATTCATTTAGTTTTTGATGGGGGGCAAAAACCTGGAGGTGGGGGACAGAGTAATTACTGCCAAATCTTTAATAAGAGTTGGACAACTCAGGTAATACAGACAGACTGATCAGGGAGTGGTGGGTGGGGTAGTTAGAAACTTTGAAAGCCATCAAGGCCTACAGTCTGTTTAAAAACAACCAAAAAACACCCTTTCGTTATACCTGAGCAAATTGAAGAATCATTTCAAAAACAGAATTGTCAGATATCACTACCAGAGAAGTGACATTTAGACAATCAAATACTAGCATAAATTAGATAACTGGATCATTTTTCACTGTCTTAAGAGAAAAACAAATCCAAGATTACCAGAAATCTTTTAAAATGGTGTTTAGCAGCATATAAGTTTTTTAGTTAAGGGACCCAGAAGGGACAGAGTAAATCAATTCAAATCAAAACTTAATGGTTTCATAGGACTTCATATGAACAAGCAACTTATTTGTCCTACACATATATTTGACTGGTTTAAAATCAGACAAGGATAAAATGATCTTTTCCTAACCCCAAATTTGGGAGAACACACGGTTTTGTTAGGTTCAAGCCCACCCACATTAAGCATTAACCAGTTAACATTATTGCTCTCACCCTCCAACTTGGAGAGAGACCCCCAAGAGGTTTTAGTAGTGCCTTTACCACTTAGGAAGAAACAGAAAGGTGGATATAGCAAAATGCCAGCCTCCTTGGGCTGTTTCTCCACATGTATTTGGGAGGCAGCAAAACAATCCCTGCTCACTTCAGTCTTCTACACCCAGCCTTGCAGACCACCCACCAAGAATCTCAGCAGAGCCTTTTACTGATACACACACACACCTGGGCCTATCTCTTTAACAATAAAAGAAAACAACTCCCTTTAAAATTCCATTCCAGTGAATGGAATAACTGTGATTATTAGTATTGGTACCCCCTGTATAAATCCAGTTTATTCTTGCTCACCTACAGAGGGGTACACAGATGACAACTCCATTCAAGATACAGTGAAGACAGCCAAAAACAATAGTTCCCATTAAAATAATTTTGTGGAAGTTATAAAACCAAGAGAGAAAAATTGAGACATACGTTTGCTACTTTTTAAAACTACTAAACTTTTAATGTATTTGCTTGTATGCTCCAGAAAAAGTTAGAAGCAAAATATAGCAATATCTTCAGCAAGGTCTCTCAACCATATGGGGCCTCAGTATCATTTGTCAAAGTGTATCACTAACGTTTTCTGACTGTGGCATCCTATACATTTGTTAATTCAAAGTCATAAAAAGGCCTCAAAAATCCATTTTAAGTTTGATATTCCCATCAGCTTATCATTCATGAGGATCTGAATATTTCCTAACCTATTTCCTAGAACAGACTATTCAAAGTATAATAGGATAGTTAAAAGAGGTTACGTGTTTATGTAATGTGTTATGTGAGAGACACAGAGGGAGAATATATTTGTTATTTCAGGCAGACTGAAGACCGAGCTTCCGGTATCAGCTCCCCACGTGCCTGCTCTCTCTTGGTCAAGTCTCCCTTGAAGAGATGTCCCATATCTTGAGACTGCAGAAAATATAAAGCTATTATATTAATTCATCCTGCCTCTACAGTAAACTGGCCCATCATCCCAGGGATGGCCTAAACCTAAGTCCTTCTTCCTCAACACCAATGAACTGTTCCCTTCAGCCTTAAAATTAATAACCTTAATATCTGGTATTTGTTTTTAACAGTGAGCAACCTACAGTGCATACATCTCCTTGATAACAGTGGAAGATCAAAGAACTTTTCTTATAACCTGCAATCAGCTACTCAGCCAAAAAACAAAACAAAACCTTGACTGCCTAAGGAGGAAGACTGTGTTCGGGTGAGCTGGCATAGCTAGTGCAGAGTTCAAATTTTGTGCTGATAATCTTTTACACTTTGGGAAAACTTTACTATCTGTACCTGAAGGCTTATTCACCTAAAAATGTGTTAACTCAAAGAAAATGTCAGAATGTTTCCTTTCTGCTCTTACACAGCATTGTTTTGTCAATCGATGTAGCCTGCACTGAAAGGACCTGCATAGACTCTGTCTGTGCAAAGTGCCCAGGTGTCTGCTTTCACTGCAGTCTGTATGGTTGGAAATGGGAATTCATAATTAACAGTAAAATCTAAGGCAAACTAAGGCTGCTGGGTTGGGATTTCTGCCAGCTAGCTGGTACTGGCTTCCTGACTCAAGAGATGAACCTAAATGAGATAGGAAGCCTGTCCCATAGCAGCCTTCTTCTCACTACTTTCCTGGAATCTAATGCAACAAACTTATCACACACACCACATTCACATCCCACTGTTACTTCAAAATTAATCAGGTTTAAATTTTAGATCAGAATCATGACCCACTGTTTGCATTTAGAAATTGTACAAAAGACCATAGATACATTCTGGTGATTCCTTACATTTTACAGTTCCTACGTTAGCCTCTCAAGGCCACAAGTTGCCGCCACATCTTCTCTGAATGGCTTTCTCAGTGCTGAATACCAACAGCCATATTACAGTATCAAGGATTCTGTCAGGTAGGGTTTACAGACCAGACTGTTCATGCAGCAAGGTGCCAACTCAGGCTTCAATGTTCTACTTGTATTTTCTGACCAACTTGCAGAAATGAGCAATCTTCTTAAAATGCCATTCCTGTTGGCAGGGAAGAATGAAACGGCACACATCCTAGCATTCTAAGAACACCTGGTTTAAATAAAATCCAGTGATCATGGACTCTTTCACATTGTTTAAGGGGAAAGCTGCTGTGGGAATATAGACAGTAGGCATAAACAGTGATATATTTTACAAGTATTTTGGGGGATGCTTTCATTTTCTACACATCAGTGCCACTTCTGTGCTAAAGTTAAGAGACAGGCAATGAAGTGTTCGCTTAAGTTAACTACCTTGGTTTTTAGTTTGCTAATTACTATAAGTCATCGTTTTTGTGATCACAAAAACACAAAGAATGAGGTCTGCCTAGATGGGATTACAAAGATTTAGCCAATTTCTTGGTACATAACAGAAGGTACCACAGGATCACTCTCTGTTTTGTAAATATTTCGCTCCTATGAAATGCACAATGCACAACACCTGTGACCATGTATCGTGTGCTAGTCCAGGAAGCCAGCATACACATTAATAGGAACTCCCAAGCATTATTTTCCTACATCAGTGCAAAGAAGGTTCGTAAACTTCTTTAAAAGTTCAGCTTTAATGACAAAAGATCTATTACATCAGTCTTTCTTCAAAATAAGATAGACGTGAATAAACAACTTCAAACAGGAGGTACCACAGCCTCTTCAATACACTGTAGCCAGTGCGCTGGGCCCTTGGGGATGCCCAGTGATATACACGTTGAAGCAGTAATGTAAGTCTGTGAGCCACTGTTCCTGAACACTTCCACTCTTCAATGTCTGGAGAGAAAAACAAGAGTAATTTGAGAATTGTACCCAAATCTCTATGCTACCTGACCGTACTTTTCACACCCAAACACAATTTCCCAGAGCTGTGGCAACTGCATCCCCGTCTATAAATTACCATAGGAAGTCTTCCAGGAAACAGGGAACTATTAATCGGGCATTACCACAGGCAGTGGAAATTCCTAGTTATATCCTCAAATGCCAACGGTTTCTTACTGAGTGTGTTCCCTCCTGCACATGCTAGAGACTAATGAAATTTCACCACCAACCGTCCCTTCACCCTTGCCTCCCCCTCTTGCCATTCTAGTGTCTCATGATCTTTACCCCAATGCCAACTGAGAATAACTCTACAGGGCCAACCAACAATTTCTGTCAATCTCTTCTTTACAGAAATGGGCTGATTCTCCAGTCTGGGAATAATCCAAGCTCTTGATTTTCTTCCCTTCACTATTTCTGAATTATTCCACTGCCACTTCCATTACCCCTACAAAGGCTACTGAGAAAATTCTAATGAGCACCTGTGTTATATGCATGTAAAAGCACTATTACTTCAAAGTATTACTACAAATCTCAAGGGACAACCTGCAAATCAAACTATACAAAACACCTTTTTAACCCCCCCAAACTAAAATCACCAAAGGAATCCTAAACAACAGAGCTGTCCCTGCCAGACACAGCTGAAGGCAGAGAGCCAACCATTAGACAAAGCTGAAGTCTGCAACTACTTCTGATTTTCTTACTTTCCAGTGAACTAAGTGACTAGAAATTGGCCTGAAGTTTATTCCTGCTAATTTCCTTAATGACAACATTTACTGAACACTTTACAAATGTCAGGTATACTAAAAAATTTACTTTGGTTATCTCCTTTAATGATCACCAAAACACAATAAAGTTGGCATTATTCCCATTTTTCTAGATAGGAAAACAAGCTTGGATAGGTAAGAAAGAAAGAAAAAAACTTGCCCAGCTGTCACAGTTCATTAATAGAGTCTGTATTACAGTCTAGGTAGGAATGACTCTGATGCCCTTACCTTTTCAAACTAAACTAAGCTTTGTCACCTTCATTTAGTTTGATTATTTTAAGACTTTTATTACCAGTTCTGGAATAACAGACACACACCCCCCGTTAAGTTACAGTCAGGTGCTGGACAGCACAGGAGACCCTGAGAAACTACCACACTGGGATTAATTCCTGGACTCAATATATGGGATCTCTTTCCTCCCTCAAAACACACTTCCCTCCCATGCCCCTGTCATAAATTCATTCTTATGCTAATATTGCAAAGCCTCTGGTACCATGCTTCTTACCGTGATATTCTTGATGATCTGCTGCACCAAGATCGCATTGGTCAACATATGAGTCCTGAGAGGTGCATGCTGAAGCAGCAGTCGAAGCAGCTGGCCCACAACAGGCAGCTCCTCAGGCCCAACTCTGTTCACCCGCAGGCTCTGCAGCATCAACCTGAGGACTCGAGGCAAGAGAGCCAGGATGGAGACACAGACCCCCCACAGCTTGTCCCTAAAATAACAGCGACAGAAATGAGTCAGTGAGCAAATGCACACAGGAAAAGCCCCCACTTTCCATGTCCCCCCAAACTGAAATGTCCCTTTAAGAAACATGTTTTCCAATAACATTTAAGCTGAGAGCCAACCTAGGAATACATCTAACCAAGGAGGTGAAAGATCTCTACAAGAAAGACTACAGAACACTGCTGAAAGAAATCACAGATGACACAGATAAATGGAAAAACATTGCATGCTCATGAATTGGAATAATCAGTATTGTTAAAATGGCCACACTGCTCAAAGCAATCTACAGATTCAACTGTATTCCTATCAAACTACCAACATCATTCTTCACACAATTAGAAAAAAATATTCTAAAATTCATATGAAACCAAAACAAGAGTCAGAATGGCCAAAGCAATCCTAAGCAAAAACAACCTGACTTCACACTATACTACAAGGCTACAGTAACTAAAACAGCATGGTAATGGTAGAAAACAACAGACACATAGACCAGTGGAACAGAAAAGAGAACCCAGAAATAAAGCCACATACCTACAACTATCTCATCTTCAACTCAGCTGACAAAAACAAGCAAAAGGGCAAGGATTCCCTATTCAATAAATGGTGCTGGGACAACTGGCTATCCTTTTGTAGAAGAATAAAAATGGATCTCTATCTTTCATCATATACAAAAAATTAACTTGGCCAGGCATGGTGACTCACACCTGTAATCCCAGCACTTTGGGAGGCTGAGGCAGGTGGATCATGAGGTCAAGAGATAGAGACCATCCTGGCCAACATGGAGAAACCCTGTCTCTACTAAAGATACAAAATTAGCTGGGCATGGTGGCATGCGCCTATAGTCCCAGCTACTTGGGAGGCTGAGGCAAGAGAATTCTTGAACCCGGGAGGCGGAGGTTGCAGTGAGCCAAGATCACACCACTGCACTTCAGCCTAGCAAAGAGCAAGACTCTGTCTCAAAAAAAAAATTAACTCAAGATAGATTAAGAATTCATTACTAAGTCCTCAAAAGCAATTGCAAAAAAAAAAAAAAAAAAAAAAAAAGACAGGTGGGACCTAATTAAACTGAAGAACAAGAGAAACTCTCCACATTTCAGTAAACATGGTGTTTTTCACTAACATTTAGGCTAAGAGCCAAATCAAGAACAATGAACATCATTCTCTTGGTATCTTTATAGAGCAAAATGTTTATGGTAGAGACAGGTGACCCTGCAGCTAGCCTATGTTAATTAGATAGTGCAATATTTATATGGACCTAGAGTCCACTGACTATGAAAGGCTCTGACTTTGTTGCAGCTTCTTTACCAGGAGCGTATAATCCTCCTAGTTCCCAAATCTTTCTAAGAGAACCTCACTACCTCCAGGTCTAGAGGGAGCAGCCCTTTCACCATATAACCAATTTCCCTGACTCCACATATGGTAATTCCATCTATGGTGAATAGTGAATCCATTCTAGGCCAAATAGATACTCTTATGCAGAGCCCAGCAGGGACAGTCATGTGCAAGGAGAAAAGAGAAAGCCGGGCCGGGCGCAGTGGCTCAAGCCTGTAATCCCAGCACTTTGGGAGGCCGAGACGGGCAGATCACGAGGTCAGGAGATAGAGACCATCCTGGCTAACACGGTGAAACCCCATCTCTAATAAAAAAAAAAATACAAAAAACTAGCCGGGCGAGGTGGCGGGTGCCTGTAGTCCCAGCTACTCGGGAGGCTGAGGCAGGAGAATGGCATGAACCCGGGAGGCGGAGCTTGCAGTGAGCTGAGATCTGGCCACTGCACTCCAGCCTGGGCTACAGGCTCCAAAAAAAAAAAGAGAGAAAGCCGGACTGCAGACGTAGCTAACGCAAAGGCACAGAGATACAGACTACACAAACTAGAAGAAAAATAGAGTAAGCTGCTTTGTCCGTTGCTAAATTTCTAATTCCTAGCCCTTGAGTTTTACAAGTTACTCCTGTAATAATCAATATTTTCATTTTCTACTTTTCTTAATTTGAGTGGATTTCAAATAACCACAGACCTTTAAAAAAAAGATAGCCAACCTCAAGGCCAGATGGGTGAAACCTCTAGGTGACAGAAACTATAACAAAATTCATATAAAGATACCCAGTCATACAAAACTGTATGTGGGATTTTAGGGCTAGGATTTTCAACAGTCAAGAGTACTGGAAGCTGAGGCTTCAAAACCCAGGTATGGAAGGCAGGGAGTTTGAACTATGATCCTTGCATAAAATGGGAAGCCAGGAAAACGCAAATGTCAAACTATCCTACAGGGAGGTCTACAAACCTCCACAGAACTCCCACAAAAGACACCTTAGGGAAAAGGTATGCAGCCCAAAATATACAAGTCTGTTCAACTTGCTCCCTAAAATAAGGGAGAATGCCCACACCGGAGAAAAAAGGAGCTAATGGAACTAACAAGAACTTTAAAGAAACACCAGTAAACCAAGAACAAGCAAGAATGACAAAATACCAAATGAAAATCCAAAACAGAAACAAATCCAAAAGAACACAAAACAATAATTGATGAAATAAAATCTCAGTAGGAGGATTAAGTAAAAGAATTAGCAAATTAAAAGATTTTTAAGAGATAAAGAAGACAGAATAAAAAGCTCCCTATGTTTAAAAGGAGTTTTTACAAGAAAATAGAAACAATGGGGGAAGACGGTTAGAAATTAATAACAACTTTCCAGACTTGAAGAAAAAAAATTGAATCTTTGTATTATGGAAGCACACTATGTCTCGGGCAGGATAAATAACAAACCTACACTAGGACACATCCTGATCTGCAACACACTGAAGATGAAGAGAAAACAGTAAAAATATAGATTACTACCTATAAGATTACTGCCTACAAACTAAGAGGGCTCAGACTAATAGCAGATTTTTCATCAGTAACACTGAGGCAAGGAGACAATAGAACAGTATCTTCAAGGCACAGCAGACACAGTACTAAACAACTCAATTTGGTCAAACCTAACTTTCTGGCCAGCATTTGTGAAATCAAAGGCTCCCCAGTAATTTGACTAGCACTCTCATCATTTTGTAATCTTATAAACACCTTCTCCAGTGGGGAAGAAATAACCCAAATGGGAATTTTAGTACCTAAGACTTTGGCTGCCAACTGTGCCTAATATCCTAGTAATGTCAACCTTTCCAGTACCCAGTATAGAACACCTCTAAAACTGGGCATTTTAAACAGGCAAACAAGTATTACACACACTTAATTTTGTTCATTCCAGCCACATGAAGTCAAAGGATGTTTCTCTATAAGAGACTATAATAGATCTTTGAAACTTTGCATGAAGTTGTTTTAGGAGCCGTACTTCAAGTGACAGGAAATAACAAATAGCAATACACACATTTCATTAAGTGGGGATTTTATAAAATCTCTAGAACCCTGAGAAGTTCCTTGCTACTTATAAAGCCTTTTCTTGACCTGTCAGACCTAAAGTTTGATGATGTATAAGAAAACTATCATCAAATTTATGTTATGCATAAATTTTATAGTATATTTAAAGTGAAATACACAATTTTTTCTATACACATACTCTTACTGGAAAAAATTTGAATGCTGACAATAAAATGGCTAAGTTATAGTACATGCATGTAACAGAATACTACAGAGCAGACTGAGCAAACTATGGCGACAGGCCAAATCCAGCCCATGACAAGTATTTGTAAATAGTTTTACTGGAACACAATCATACTCATTTATTTACATATTATCGATTGATGCTTTCACACTACCATGGTAGTGTTGAGTAGCCATGACAGAGACCTTAATGGTCTGCAAAACCTAAAATATTTACTAACTGACCCTTTATAGAAAGAAGTTTGCTGAACCCTGGTATGGAGAAATAAAAATGAATGAAATACAACTAAATGAATCAACTTCAACCAATCTCAAAAGCAATGCTGAGAGAATCAAATCACAAAATATACATGCAGTGTAATTCCCATTACAAAAAATCCACAAATAATGCAAAACAAATATGATACTGTTTAAAAATGCACATAAAACCATTTTTTTATAAAGGTAATGAAGTTGATCAACACCAAAGTGATCTGGGGCAGAGGGGTACGTAAAAGACATTTAACTATGCAGGGTACATTAACAGTATATGTGCTGATGATATTCTATATCGGAACCTTGGGGTTGGTTAAAAATGGAGGCTCAGTTTATAATTACCTTTTAAACTACATACATGTTTTTAATACATTCAGTATATGTATTTTCATGTCATTTGAAAGTTCAAAAAAGGCACACATCAAAACATTAACAGCAGGTGACAGAATATTTGCCAACCTGTTAGCAGGTTTTAAAACCTTCTACAATGAACTTTTAATGGGCACACCAATAAGAATACAAACATAAAATACTTTTTAAAATGAAAGTAAAATCTTCCCAA